AATGTTTCTCCATGACTCCAAAATTAGGAACAAATAAACACTCCAGAACAGCTGCTGACGTGTATAGTTGTGGGAGGGGGGGCTCAAAAATATATTTACCCACAAAAGGAGGGGCCCAGCAGAAAGGTTCAGGAACCACTGATAAGAGAATTGGAATTTACCACAAGTCTAGATAGGCTCCATTCATTTGACAGTATGCACTCAAATTCTTTTGACTGGTTCTCTTGTTTGACTGCACCTCGTCTGCCAGTCAAATCAAAGCACATTGCTCTAAGCAACATGAGTCTGGCTGTGAACAACTCACAACCATGAGTTGTTAGCAGTTCTACAATTCCCCTGTAAAGTCCTCACAATTAAAATTTCAGTAATTATTTGATTCCTAGAAAGGCTTGAAATTCTACAATTTTACAAAAGATTAAAGAGGAGGCGACAGTGGTACGGTGGGTAGAGCAGTTGTCTCCCAACCAGAAGGTTGAAGGTTCAAATCTTGAGTGCCTGCAGTCCACGTGTCGAAGTGACCTAGGGCAAGACACAAAACTCCAAAAATAGAATGGACAGAATTATTGACACCTTTTCAAAATCATCAGAAATAGTTGTATTTCAAGCAGGTGATGCACCTTTAATTTGTAATGAAACTCACCTGTAGCAATTAACAGGTGCTGGAAATATAGAAATCACACTTGCAACTAGTAAAAATAGAGAAAAGTTGACTCAACCTTTGTGTCTTGTGGACCTCGCTGAGCATGGAGAAAAGAAAGAAGAGCTGTAGCTACAGAAGAAGAAATCTGAAGACTACTAACAAATTCTGGGGCCTAGTGTCAGAAAGTTGGGTCTCCATCAGAGGTCATGGGTCTTACAGCAGGACAATGACCCAAAGCAGACTTCGGAAAGCACCAAAAATGGTTTCAGACAATGAGCTGGAAAGTTCTATGGCCAGCAATGAGTTCAGATCTAAATCTCATAGAGCTGTGGAGAGATCTCAAAACAGCAGCTGGGAGAAGGAACCTTTCAAATCTGAGACCTGGAGCACTTGGCAAAAGAAGAGTGGTCCAACATTCCAGTAGAGAGGTGGAAGAAACTCACTGATGGTTACAGGAAATGATTGGTTTCAGTTATTTTGTCCAAAGGGTGTGCTACCAAATAATAAGTTGTGGGTGTCAATAATCCCTGTCCAGTCCATTTTTGGAGTTCTGTGTGAAATGGATCAGATTGGCCTTTTTCTCTCTGCTTTTTTTTGTGTTGTTCTAATGCGAGAAAAGAAATAAACATGAGAATACCAAAGAATTTGTTATTACAACAATTTTCTGTGAGAAGTGGTGAGTTTTCTGACAGAAATGCAGGGGTGCAATCATTTTTAGCCATGGCTGTATATCCAGTCAGTCAGTTTCATATAACCCTGCTCTGTGTGGATTGCAGTTAGTTGTTGGCACAGATTTGTTCCCTTGGATTAATTGTGCCTTATTGGTGTCTGGGTAGCAAGTAGTCAGTATGGTTCCAAGCTTTTTGCTTGATAAAAATGAGCATTTTGCTGTGAAACCTTCTGACATGCTTGCACTAAATCTCAAGAAGTCTGATGTATCTTGAGTGTACCGGTCAGTTTAATGGAATAAATAAGCAATTTTTAGGAATGAATGAATGTCTAAATTATAGTCATAACAGATGAAAAAATTAAACTCCCAAAGTGTCAGAACTTTAGTGTAGACATTTATCCAGTCCAATTCAGACATCTGCAGGAAAAAGCTTGAGTAATTGAAATGACTCATTTCTGTTATGAGAAGAGAAAAAGAGAGCAGATACTGTAAATACAGAATATATGGACATCTCAATTTAGGAAAAAGTAGATGTTCACATAAACATACTCACTGCACAAATTTACATATACTCCCCCGCCCACTGCCAACAATAAAATAAACATCCAGACTAGCATATAACTGGCACACTGATGATGTCTGATGGTAAAATCCATGGATTTTCAGAGTTAATATAAAGCTCTTTATTAAATCTCACAGTGGGGGTGTTTCACATCCACTAAATGCTGAACACTATACGGCTCATCAGATACCGCAGATCTGTCAATACGCCCCATTTTGTCTCAGCATGGTGTTAGAAGAACACTGACAACCATTCTGCTTTATCACTTGTAAATGACCACTGTCAAATGAAACATAAACCTGATTAGCTTCCCATGCACACTCTAAGCCAGGATTCTCACAAGGCTTTCATATGTGTACATGGGAAAGACAGTAGATACTGTAAAGTATGAATGGGTGCAAAAAAAAAACAAAAAAAAAAAACAGTCAACATGGCTGGCAGACATGAAGCAGCACCATGAAGAGCAAATTGATTCCAAGTCAACTGCAGCTCTTCACTCTACTCTCCACAGGCTCCCCAGTAACAGCAGTCTGATGACTCTTACAACTGGGCATAAAGATATGCACCTTCACGATTTCTCCTTGCAGCGATTTCATGGTGAGTGGCTGAACAGCCACCTTCGAAGACCGTAGGATATTACTGTCAAGAAGGATGGAATAGAACTGCACAATCAGAGAAGCCACTGTATTAGAAACACTGTTAATTCCCATTACAAATGGTTCTTTCAGTGATATCCTTAGTATTCTTCAACATGGAAACACACGCATCTCTTGAAGATTCAATCATAATACAGATTTATATTATGACAATTACTTTAAATTCTTTCAGCTTGGTTTCATCACTTTGATATGACAAGTGGTTCCAAATATGACAACATCTGTGCAGTAGTGTTGCTAGCGATGAACCCCGTCAGGGGTGTGAATCAGAACTTCAACCATGAATTAGTCCAAAGTGACTCAGAATCTGAAAGTAAACCCATTTTTGCCAGTTGTATTCTTTATCTTCTCCTCACTGTTTAACAGTTTAAACACATCATTTCACATAAGATCTGTGATAAGATATTTCTTACCAAAAAGCTCCCTGGGAGTTTTTTTCATTCTCAGTCTTAAGTTTTACCTACAGAAGCTTTGATGTTTTATTAAGAATAATAGATAACAGATAACACACACTGGTGTTCATTTTTGTACTGGTGATTTCACCAAGATTTTCTTGTTCAAAACCGAAGTGTTCTAATTTCCTTTCGCCTTTCAGCATTATCAGTGTAGAAAATACAGTAGTGACTGTCAGCAGGTGTAGAACAGTACCTGTCCATAGAGAGCTGTGCGACTAGAGTGACATCAGTATTGTCAGAGCTGGGTTCATACTCGTAGTGGAGGAAGTAGAGGTGTGTCCGATGGACGGTGTATCGCTCTCGACGAAACTCGTAGCAGGGATCATCTTCATCTAGCTCTGACAAAGTCTTCTGGAGCTGCAGACAGAGAGGAGAAAGACACCCACAGTGAGACATTGTATGGGCCAGAATGTTAACCCCTTCAAATGCTGCTATTAGCTCAGGTTGCTCTATCAGCACCGTAGAATGCTACCAAAAATTTTCTTTGTCTAAAAACTTTGACTGAAAAATTTTTGGCACGCATTCAACTTCAGGCCGGCTTGCCTGCCTTTTTGTCTAAAAAGGAATTTTAGACAAAACATGAAAACACGCAGATGAGAGATAGATGAGACACTTTGGTGGCTAAAAATTTTCTTCTTTGTTCTGTGTTCTGGTCTGTGTTGAGACAAAGGGAGGCGGTGACTCATGAGTGGTCATGCCAGCTTGGGCTCTGATTTGTTGGGAGCCTGCAAGTGGGAGTCCTCTGGCTGGCTGGAACTCTGTTGTTATAGTAACAGTTTCTTGACTGGCTCTTTTGGAAGTGCTGTGAGCCGAGTGAGACGGTGCACAGAAGATTAGTAATTTTGTCTTAAGCTAATGTTATGCAGTCCATAACTTCTACTTTCCACCATGGCTCAGACATTTGAAATACATACCCACAAATTGAAATTGAATAAAAAGAAGAACATAAGCAAAAATTTGTTAAGCACACAATCATAAAATGTTAAACAAAAGTACTTACGTTTTGTTAACTAATGTTTGGGCACCTGAAAGTAATGTTTTGTGATGACTGAGTTTTCAGACATCTTAAAAGCAATAGGCAAATTTTAATTAACGCTCAGGGAAACTTTTTCATATAAACAAATTCAGAAATCATTTGTCAACTTTACTAAACATTTAAATTTTGGTTAACATAATTTCACATTCGCAAAGAGCATTAGCATACAGAGAAAGAGTGAGGGAGATCACAAGCAGTCCTTTTTGTTACGGTCACAAGCTCTGGGGGAGAGCCTGCACTCCAGAGGTGTCTGTTCTCTTAAGAACGTCCAGTGTCTGTGTCTACATATATACTGAAACATTGGGTTGGTTGTGCTGTAGCAGTATATATTAAATTGAGGCTTTAATGTGACCCACTCTGCCAGTGGATGCCACATATCCAAGGCTCTAATCCTACAAAAGTCAATTTAGCACCAGGCTTTTACAAGGTCATGCAAATAAAATGCTGCTTTCCAATTGATTCTCAGTGATTAGCTCCTGTCAACTTTCTGATGAAATGCCACACAAAAGGAATGAATAAGGATTTGCAGAGCACTGGAGCTTTCTGCACAGTGTGCGCAAATTGTAAAAGTGATGTGTTAACAGAGCAACACATCAACCAATGTATTCAGCATTCTGTTCTCAGGTCCATCTAACGTGATTTTAATTCAAGTGAAAATGAGCTCAACAAAATAGAATTGCTGTGGCTTAACAAAGCACAGTCGATTTGTGCTTTGTGAACAGAAAGACATGGCTGAAGGGCTGTCAGAGGAGGACTTGGTGTGTGGCGTTGCTCTGCTTTGAACACCGTGCTTAGTGAAGCTGCAGTGAGTGACTCGGCTGCAGTGGCACTGTGGCCCTAGAGGAGCCCAGACTGCAATGTGCTGCTGGAGCCAATCCCTGAGTGACTTCATTAGTCTAATCATCACTTTAATGGGATTTAAATAGCTGCTCAAACTCTGAAAAATTGAGTGAGCAAACTATTTCCTGAGTTGGGACACATTAGGATTGACTGTTGGCAAAAAGAGTCTGGCACACCGTGATGGAAAATTATAATTCGATTAACTGACTGCAGAGTTGACCCACTAGCTGAAGAGGTATAAAGGATCAACTGCCTGAATGATTAAACAACAACCAAGTCTATACAGTAAGCTGCTCAACCACCACTAAAGT